ACAACTTATCTAAAGCTAGTAAGCACTTACAACTTTGAATTTTGAACAATCTTTAAGAGTACTAGGAAGGTCTTATATTCTATAGGTAACAGCTGGCATAACTGAAACCATTTCATTTTTGTAAAATACTTTGTGTCATTTTCTAACAAAATTTCCTTAATGGAAATATATTTTTTATACTGCATCTCCATTAAAATGGCTTTTTCCTGTGGAAGAATACAAGCCTTTTTACAGCTCGCCAAATCCATAAGCTCATATCCTGTTATAAAGAGTTTTTAAAAAACGACAATTCTGTTAGACTTCTAATTATTTCAGGTGATTAATTTCATCTATTCTTTTTTTAACTGTTGGCAGGAAACATTAAATTCACTAAGTATTTGAAGAAAATGTATCGTAATATTGCTCACTTTATTTCTTTACACAGGTTTTTCCTTTTCCTCTGATGCAACAAGTTGCAATTGTCCATCATGAAATTCGTGATACACATTCTAGAATTTTTTCCAATTGTGTGACGTGCTTACTTCTGTATTAGCCCTGATTTTAAAGTTAACAATTTGTCTGTACTTATTTTTTAAACCAGAAAAATAATTTATATTAAAATGAAAAAGGCATCTCAATTACTAATGGTCTGCATTGGCACAGTAACTCATGGTGCTAGCAGAAAGGATTCAAACACATTATTATGTTACTCTGGCTAGTAAAATATTGTTAGGAGGAGTCAGTTCTTTGACATCAATTGGTCATGTGTTTACGGGTTTCACGTCTTATACAATGCTTCAGATAAAGGGAAATTTGGTCCTATCACAATAAAGGATCCTTTAACCAAAAAAAGTCTTACAGTTCCTGTCATACATGCCATATCTGAAGTGCTCAAAAGGCACATGTGGCTAAGGATACCATATTGAACATAGGTCTAATCTGCTGCATGACAGGAAACTTAACAAGGCTTAGAATTCTTGGATTCCTTCCATTTGTTATATGCTGCTCTATGAAAGTATCTCCTAACACCTAGTAATTACTTAACTACCCAGTTAGAAGCACACTGGATCTGTTTTGCAAACTAAACTATGAAAATAATGCAAAATGAAGTAGTGTAGCTTGAGAAACAATTCTTTGCCTAAGTGTTTTCGTGAGGTCAGTAAAGAACAAATGAGGGCCTTGGTGGCCAATACTTCTTAAGACACGGTGAGTCAGGGTTTGCCTAATGAAAGTAATGAGTGACTGAACAAAACTCACGTCTTTTCACCCGCAAGGGATGAGGGACAAATCGAGGTTCTTATTGACTCCTGAACATTTCAAATTCCCTTTCCTTTTTCTCTTACTGCCCTGCAAACCATCCTCAGCTTATCTATCAAGTGGACCATGCCAGAGCCAGTTAACTAGTTTTACAGTTTTAACTCACCCTCCAAAGCACTGCTTAATAATAACCTTTCTAAAATATAAACCTGGTAATGCTGCACCTACTTAAAAGCGTTTTATGGCTCTTTATCACCACCTACAGGTTTAAGTTCAAACTTTATATGGTTCAAGGTTCCAAAGGCATCCAGTGTTCCACTCTGCTAGTGTGCTTCCCACTTCAAGATTCACCTCGTGTTGAAACTCATAACTACCCACGATTCCATGAAGAGTTTTACTATAGCTATTATTCAGCTGGGAAACAGGACTAAAAGTCCTTTAAAAGTAGCTCTAAGGTGACCTCTGGAAAATTTTGTAGGTTCATGTAGAGAAATTTGCTCCCTCCATAACTATTATGCCTTTAGTACATGTTATATTAGATTTTAATGATGAATAAGCAACTTAAAGTCAGAGACCATGGCTGATTAAGTCTCTATTTCCAATCATAATGCAGTGTCTGACAAGAAGAAATTCATTATGTGACCAAGAAAGGTACATTAATAACTGATCACCAAAAATGGACCAACTACACATAGTGCCCTCACCATCTGGGCTGCTCAGAGTTACAGCAGGCAAGCATTGTGGTCGAGGAGAGAAGGGCTCTGGTAACTCACAAAGCTATGTTGAGTACATGTCCCCCACACACCTACGTCACTGCCCTGAGAACCAGCCACCTGAATCAGCATGTATATTACAAGGGAAGTAAGCCCTGCATCCTGCCTTGGTCACACTATCATTCCTTTTCAATGTCCTTAACACCAGGTTTTCAAGAGTTACACAACGTTGGGAAACAGTATGCATAGGTTTGCCACACAGGGGGAGATGCTCAACCGACAGGGCTGTCGGGCTGGTGGATGAGACATTAACTAAGACACAGCTGTGCTGTGCTGACAGGCTCCCTGGGGCCTGCAGCTTATTCACTGTGCTACAAAGACTGACAAGTATCTGGCATTAAGAACTCTCCAGCCTGCCCACCTCCGGTCATGTTGATGTGGTGAGCACAATTTCTTGTGACAAGCTCAAAATAATTTAACAGCTTTAAAATACATTAGAATGATTTGAAGTTTGCCTACTTTAAAAAATTGCCATTTCCTTAATTATTTGATTTAAAATGTTAATGTTGCTGAAGAAACCACAGAAACTGGTTCACAAGCCATCTTGTAATCCAGCAGTTTTCCCAATTCTTACAAACTGGTTGATTAGTCATTTGGGGAACTATTTAAACATTTTGTTTCACTATTTGGAGGAAATTAACTTAGCTATTTCTTCAAGTCTCATAAAAATTCTAGTAAAAACTATCCTCTGCAAGATTCTCCTAACACATAATCTGTTTACTAAAACTGTCTTCACAGTGCTTATGAAACCTTATTTTAAAATCAATTTAAAAAATAGAATCAATTTAAATTTGAACACCTAGATAATATTCCAAAATGGGAATTCTCAGTATCTATAACATCATTACCCAGAACACAAAAGCTTTATTCTGAATATATTTCACTTTACGTTCCCTTAGGTACTTGGTTCCTCTAAAGAACATAAACTAGAAATGATAAAGTAACATGGACATAGTACTTTTCTATACACTTACTTCTGGGCAATTTTAAGGAGAAACAAAACTTGTTACAGAGATAAAACTATATATTAAGGATTGGGTAGAAGATGTGTACTTTGAAAAAGTGGACAATGGGGCACCTGGGTGGCTAAGCAGTTGAGCACCCACCTTTGGCTCAAGTCGTGATCCTGGAGTCCTGGGATGGAGTCCCACATCAGGCTTCCTGCAAGGAGCCTGCTTCTCCCTCTGCCTGTGTCTCTGCTTCTCTCTGTGTCTCTCACAAATAAATTAAAAAATACTTAAAAAAAATTTTTTTTTAATTAAAAAAAATTAAAAAGTGGACATTTTGGCAAAAATTCATTGTCATCTGATTTTAAATGATTTTCTTCTAGCATCTACACTAAAAATTACAATTATAGAAGTAGTTTCTAAAAAACAAATGGGACTTTTTCTGAAGAGCTGGGAAGTCACATTTTTAAAGTTTATATACACAATAAAATATACATGTGAAAAGTAGAACATCTAATGAATTAGTATAACCCCACCAACACAATGTTTGTTACTGAATTTAAAAGCATTTATTTAAAATATATCAAACTCCTTCCAAAAGACGGAAGACATATGAGCCCATTTCTTATATTAACGAGGTATATGGTAACAACAACAAAATTCCTAAATGCAAATGCACCATCAGGTGCCTAAATATAAAACTGAACTTTGGCAAAGATAGAGTGTTATACAGAAAAACACAACCAAAGCACCATTTCCCTGTATCATGGTCCTGGTCCCCCATCCACTCTGTCCCCTTCTCAAAGGGTGAGCTATAACCCTGTCCCAGATAATCCAGAATTTTAAGTATGTGGTCTGCTAACAGTTATTTTTCTCAAACCTCAGTACTACAACTATACAAATTACACTTCTAAAAATTTGAAACAGATATTGAATTTATTGGTTGGCTATGAGTAGGAAAATACATCAGTAAAGAAAAGAGACCCTGTATATAAATATAATACTAGCTAGTTACAATTTGACCAAGAAGGTTCCACTGAAAAGAACAGTAAAAGCCCTTGTTACCACTAGTCCATAGGTACATATTCGGTTTCCCATCACCCTTATCAAAGAGCTGCCTAGGCAAATGCGACATTCTCTGAGCTTTAGTGCAGATAATATGCTGGGTTTTGTTACATGAATGGTAAACAAAAATTAGTCCAGTGCATTACACAATATAATGTACTGTGAATAAAGACTACTCTATTTTAGACACTACTTCAACATACCGGTTATTAAATTTTATGTAACCAAAAAGAAGAGCAAAATGAACATCTTAAAAAATACTGTTTACGAGCAGGGGAGAAACACTTGCTAAAGGCGTTCTTTGAATTATCTGCAGCACCTGTACTGAAAATTCTGATTGATTCGTTAAAAGAACAGACTGCTTTAACTGTTTTGCCTAGGTTGGATTTGTCTGATACATTATATGACCCCAAAACCTTAAAAGTCACTATGGAAATGAATTCCATGAATTTAAATAGTAAAAAATGGACTACTACAACTGGAATTTATTACTGAAAACCTGAATCTTAGAAGAGCTTTGAAATGTTAATTCCAACATTTAGAAGTGCATTCCACCCAAATTAATAATGTCTTTAGGTTTCAAAGTGCTAACTCAAAATAAGTTTTCCTGGCTGTCACCAAATCAAGAGTAAAAACACATTTCTTGGAGATTCTCCTTGCCTGTCTTATAGGACTATGAAAGCTGTAATCAACAATTGATTTCTACAACTTTAAATTATGCCATAAATTAATTTTGATGAACATTATTTAAATTCTCAATGCATAAACAATTAGCAATAATACGGTAAAATGTACTTCAAGAGATTTACAACAAGGAATTGCGTGCCTCCAAATTTCTGATCAGTAAAAACAAAAAACATACCCCCAAAATTTCTGTAGAACATTCATAAAATGGACTTATCCCCAGCAAGAACACTGAAATTACATTATGGCAACATCACGTTAAATATATTGTTACAGAATTTTGAAAAAAAATCTATACTGAGGAAATGTACTAGTTTTATTGCATTTTAAGGAGTATGAATTATTGAAAATTCTTCAGGACACTGAAAATGTTTAGAATACAAAACCTTGCTTCACAAAAGTTATCAGCCTATTTTGGTGACTGTTTATTCTTTACAGACCCAAAATATTTCTTCCTCTTTTGAAGGTTACAATTTTAAGTCTACACTCTTGGTTCAATTTATCACTATGTAAGATGGAGTAGCAGTTCAAACATATCCACAGAATGCAGTGTGCCCGGAAGAGGCAAGAACAAATAGTTTCAAGACATAACAGGCCCTTATATCTTACTATGCTGCCCCCAAGTTCAAATATATCGCAGACAATAACAAATACAGATGACAACATTTTGTGTAAAGCTCAAACCTTTAGCATCTAACAAGTGCACTCTAGTTCCAGCATCTATGAAAAGAATACATCCTCTATTAACAAAGACAAACGAGTAAGTGCTTCTCCGCTCCCCTTCCATAAAGCTCTCTGGACCATAATACAGATCATAGGAAAAGTGGTCTCCCTTGCCTCATCAGTCCAACCAGCTCCAGCTTGCCCTCACTGGAAATTGTCATGATGCACATTACCAACACAGTGTTTAGGAAAAATGAGTAAACACACCTTTTATTCACACCTTACAAAAAATAAAATAAAAACGAAAACCCCATAAAAAGTTATGCATTGGTTCTACATCAATAATACCAGCTTTCCAATGTATTGATTATAAACTGGATATGTCTGGTGTCAGCACAACTTAAACAAAAAGCAAAAAATAAAAACCCAACACAACAAAATTTTTAAAAACCTCAAAGGAAAAACCAGGTCCCAGACAAAGATTTAAGATCAAAGCCTTTTGGAAAATTCTTTTAAAAAAAAAAATCATTTATTTAAACGGTATGTTATTTTATTTTCTCTTAAAAACAGAATAAGCACATTTAAGTGCTAAATATTTTTCATAAAATTTTAAGTCATTATCCAAAATGACTCATTTTCTGTATAAAAATTGTTAAAAAACATTTCAACATGTTCTTAATGCTCACATGTTATCCTTTTGCTCCCCTGCCTGCAGTTGAAACAAAAGCAGTTAGACCAAGTTCCCTCTGAATTCATCTGATTTTTGAGAGAATGAATGAGAACAGAACACATACAAGTTAACTTTGCAAAGTTAAAAGCTGGCTTTAATCTCTAATCTACCACTGACACTATGGGAAAATACAAGGTACAATATAACTTTTATCTTGGGTGAACTATTATGTCTTACTCACTTTATAAAATGATCTGAAGAATTGTCTTAGGGACCTGTTTTGAAAACACATCTCATTTACACTGCTTCATGAATGGAAAATTGCTTTTTTTAAAAAAAGGAATGATTAAAAAAAAAAAACAAAGAGACGAAGGAATATATGGGAAACAAAAAGAATTCACATGATAGTAGTATTCTGGGTGACAGACAGCACTGTGCAAGGACACCACGAAGCAGTGCTTGGGTCTGGTGAGCCAAGACCCAGGGACCCACCCTATGGAACACGTTCCAAAATGTGATATTCAATGCTTCACAATGGGAGAAAAAGCCACAGCTTATACAAAAGCGTTTTCATAAAATTCTCACAAATGTTAAACAGTATTTAAAAAATATAAAAGAGGATGCACAGATTTTCTCTGCATGCACAGGCAGTGCTTGGTGAGAACAAACTGAGGCAGGCACAGTGGAGACAGGACAGGAAATGTCTCCAAAAGGAGTTAAGAAGCTGCATCCAAGCAGCTGTAATTTTTTAACTTCAAAAAGTTAAAGATTTAAAAATATCAGAATGTACATATATCAACCATTACATTCAGTCCATAAATGCCTACAGATTATTCACTGCTCAGCTTATCTGTCCTAGTAGATAGTTTTTGTAAAAACCCAGGAATTCATGGGTAAGTTGCCTCTGGTCTGAGAAAATGTCCAAAGCTTTAAGCAGATTTAGATTTAAAGAGCAATGTTCTCAGTTTAAAAATAAAGTAGTACAAAAGGGCTAACAAAAACCCTAACAGTGCAAATCATCAGCAGAGAGAGTCTGTTGCAACTTCTTTTACAAGCTGGCCTTTATAACACATGAAACAGTAAAAAAACTTAGCCTTAGTTTACAATACAATCATTTCCAAATCTGATTTTTTTTTAGTACAAAATTTCATAAATCAGGTCTTCTGTGGATCATATACAATCATAAAGGCTAAATTCAAAGTCTCTATTTTACAAACAAGTCTGAAAAGGGAGGGAGTGGAGTATGGAAGAATGGTCTCTGGATGTTATTACTGGCCTCAAAAAAGTAGTGCTACAGATTTCTGTGCAAAGAGAAGATGCTGTTCAAATATTTTCCTATTTCAAGGCATGAAAATATTATATTGGATAGAAGAAACAGGAAAATTACTTGTAACAAATTAAAGATAGGTATAAACACACCAATCCCTGTCTAACAGTATATAAAGCATATTGGGCTCAGAATTTGTCTGTTGCTAGCACCTGGCTTTCATACTATATCCTTATCAAATAATCAAGATTGAAAATTCAAATCATCAAGGAAAAGGAAAAAAAAAAACTAACAACCCTGGTGGCCATACCTCACTCCCCTATATTCAGATTTTGAGTTTAAAAGTGAAATTGAGGTCGTCCTCTGAAGGTACTTGACTACCTCCTGCCAGGAAGGTGAATGCCATTAACTTGGGGCAGGAAAGGCAGTAAGAGCTCCAGTTGTGCAAAAAGTGAGAAGTGGTCGGAGGGGATGAGTGGGTGTGGGCAGCCGCTGATATTATTCTCAACTAGCCAATGGTGGTCCAGAGGTCCTAGGATGCCTAAAGTGTTCAGCTGAGGTTTAGAATAGAAGATGTAGTCAATTATACCCTGAAAAACAGAAGGAAAAAAAGATGAGGGTTTATACAAGATAATACTGAAACACGAGAGCTCTCAAGACATACCCTGCAGTCATCTTGGGTAAACAGAGAAAGTGATTAGCACATGGGAAGAAGTACTACACAAACCAAACGGTCCCCCAGGTGTCAAATTCAGCAGAATGAAGACAGTTTAGGGATGATTATCATTCATTCTTCCTCTTTTCTGGACCTTTTCACAATCTTTAATGAGACCTACAAGATCCTTCATGGTATGGCCTCGGTGTCTCTCTCTTTTAAAAGATTTTATTTATTTGAAAGAGAGAGATAGTGATGGAGAGAGAGAGAGAAAGAGAAAGAGAACGAGTGAGAAGAGGAAAGGGAAAAGCAGTCTCCCTGTTGAGCAGGGAACATCCTCCATCCCAGGACCCCGGGATTCATGACCTGAACCAAAGGCAGACATTAAACTGAGCCACCCAGAAATCCCCTGGCTTCCTTCCTAACTTGATTTGTACTATTTTCCCATGCTTACTACCCTATTACCATGCTAGCCGTTTTTTTTTAGGGTGGGGAGAAGGACATTCCTTGTAGGTATCAAGCTCCATCCCGCCCCAAGGCATCCACACACGCTGTGCCCTCTGTCTGGAACACTTTCTTTTATGTGTCATTTGGCTAATTTCTTCTCAGCCTTCATGTGGAGTTAAAACACTTTCAAAAGTCCTTCCTGAATCTTGCCCTCATGCACTCACTACTTGCCAGCACCTCTAAGTCTCTTTTCTTGCTCATGCACTCCCCAAGGTATAACTACACATTCACTTGCACTGTGGAGACAGGTCTCTCCCACCAGACTGTGAGCTCCACAAGGGCCGGGACATCTTGCCCTGTCTGTTCTCAGCAGCACCCAGGCCCAGCGTTGGGCACCCACCCAGCTGGCCACCTCTCAGTTTGCCCCTCTCGTCCTTGTAAAACTTCAGCCTCTCTTAGACATGCTTTCAGCTAAAAATATTTAAGCACATTCAAGTATCTTCCTTTTATTTCTGTTATCAGCAACAGGAACAGAAAGAAAACAAAATCCCTAATGTCTCCCACCATTTGGCCATCATCACTCCTCACCTCTTTTTCTGCTTCAAATAAGAATCTCAAAGTTAGTTTTTACTACCTCACTGCCCAGTAATATCCTTCACTTCGCCACATTCTAGTCTTCTTGCCTACCCCTCCAGTGAAGCCTCCCTCACCAACAGCTCTCTGAAGCTTACATAATGCTTCTTTTTCCCTAGAAAAGGCCTTCTTGTCTTGGCAGTTAGGCTCCTACACTGTCCTGGATCTCCTCCTTCCTCTGGTTACTCTTCTGTCATTTATTGTTCATTTTCCCCAGAGTCTGCTCCAGCCTCTCTTCACCTCCACGCACTCATCTGTTAAATTATCTACAGGGTTAAATTATCTACAGTACTATGGCACCTCCAAAGTCCAATAAAAAAAGTTTCAAGTTCTTCCACAGTTTCTCAAAGAAGTCTAAAAGCCCTTAACAGCGAAATTAAGAACCAGTTAACAGTAGTATTTAACACTCTAACACACAATCTAACCTGAATGATGATTTTCCCAGGAGTTTAGAAATGGAAAACTAAGATTTAAGAGCAGAAATGCAAAAAATGGTTAAAAAGAACAGATGAATGCAAGTCCTAAGCAATCACTGATATTAAAAATGAGAAGCACTAAGGCAAGGCTCTACATTGTAAGCTTAATTAACTGTGTGTGAAGGCATATAAATAAATATAAATTATATTATTAAATGGCTAATATAAACCACATTTTGGCACTCAAAGAGTAGTTTCAGTTAAAATATGAGAGATGAAATATGTCACTCCAATGGACACCAAATTAGATACTATGGTACTTTCTGAATAGCTGTTAAGTAATGAACATTATTATAACATAATTGTCCTCAAACAGTGACAGTTAAACTCAAGATTTATTATTATTATTTCATCTGATTTCTTACCCTGGAAATGACTCTAATAGGTACCTACCAAGCAGGAATGGGACACCAATCACACAGAATTCCACAGAAGAATAATAAGAGAATACTGCTGTCAACTAATTCAACATGGTTTACTTCTAGTCTGATGGTTTACTTCTAGTCTGAACACACATCAACATTTCAAAGACATAATAAAGTTACAAGACTCTCCAAAAAATGGAGGTTTGAAAAGTTTCTCAATCTCAAAAGTCACCTTGAAATCGAACGTGTAATTTGTGTAAGGCATCAGGCCACTCTCATAGGCACTCTTTAACTTGAAACCATGAGTGATCCTTCCATTGGTTGTCCCGTTTTTCCCATTACAGCTGAAATTTGTAAGACTTTCATTGTATCTCAGTTCTTTAAAGTCTTTATGATTTGTTTCTACTCCACCAGTGCTCAAATATTCTACAACACCTATAATGAAAACACAGGTATTTTGAAAACTGTCAAGTATAATATGCAGTGTACAAAACTAAAAAAATGTAATAGTAAATACTTTGTGCCACACAGTCACCCTTTCTAAAATGTCTTGTTTTTTGGTCTGTTTTTTTTTTTTCCACATTTCCCAGAACTTATCTAAATCTATTTTTACACGGTTTTGATCCTAGTATACTGAATATTTTATACTTTGCTGTGGTGTTTCATAGTTTATACCAGTTCCTTATTTTTTTAAAAAAAATTCCCGTGGTTTTACTTTTTAAAAAGAATTAACTCCATAATCAACATCTTAGTATCTAGGTTTCTACCTATGTTGAATTATTTACTTGGTATGAAATACCAAGATTATGATTAAATGTGCTGTTATACATATTACCAACAATGGAAAAGAATGCTACCAGCTAGATGGGCTCTGCAAATAGTTATTTTACTTTTCATTTAACTAGTTAGCAAAGCTGGACATCTTCTCATGTGTTTGCTATTAAAATACTGTATTTTTTCAACACTGAAATAAGGCTTAATAAGTATTGAGTAGATTCTCTTTTTGCCCCTCAGATGCTCTGTAGTTAAACAGAAGGCAGAACACATGTGGAGAAACTGTCAGAGAATAATCCCCACTGCTTCAGCAGCCGTGTCCCCAGAGAGCTGGATGAGATGGGCTGAAGAGTTATTGATCTCAGATACCTTTACTTGCCCTAAAAATACATTTTAATAGTTTCTATCTTCTTACTGGCTCTCATCCATCATGGTGTCAACGATGTGTGTGCTGGTGAACTTAACCACTCCAAATGTGTGTGTGTGTATACATGGGTGCCCAGGCACATAAGCAAAGGCAAGGAAAAGTACTCTGTGTGAATGAGAGTATAAACGAGGAGCTGAAATACAAATAGGAATACTCAGTTTGATATTTTAAGAACTATGGTTTGTTCACTGTACTATCCAATTGAAAAGTATTCAAGAATAAGCCTTTCTGTATTCTTCTACACTGTAATAAAAGTCAAGATCCCTGTTCTTTTTTTGTTCAAATTGCTAGCCTCATCTCTGTAAATAAAGGATCTCAATTTCCACCTAAGTAATATTGGTATCAAGTCCACCAATATTAATATCCTGAAAATAGCCAATTTAAACTGCCTATTACTACATGCTGGAATCCCAGAGAAGCTTGCTTAATAACCTTCTCAGAGTCTGATTATATGTGACCTGGGGATAATGAAGTATAATCATATGTTCTTTAACAAGTTATTTTAAGTTATCGACTACATGATTATTAAAGATGATTAATGTCCTTCCTCCTCTGGTTTTCATAACATCATCTCGTTTTCAAAATAGTCTTCCTGCTACACACACCTAAATATTAAACCTGATTCACAGTTTAGCTGCAGTGTTGCAGCTAAATTTTCATTTTGATTGAATTGGAATTACCGAAAACAATAGATTACAAAAACATTTTAAGTCAAAAAGGCATTCTATAAAATATCTTTTCTTACCAGAATCTGGCAAAGAATTAAGATCTGCACATAACACCAGTGGAATAGTTCCAAATTCTCCCAATACACTGGACTGGAGATTTCGTGAGGCTTTATCAATAATGTTCTTTACTTCTGAGAGGAACATCATAGTTTGAACCAACTTCACATCAGAGTACTCGGGGTCCCAATGCATATGAGCATTAGCCACAAGAATAAGTTGTTTTTCTGTTCCAAGATGTGGCTTTCCGGCTATATTAGGTAAAAAAGAAAACAAAGAGACAGACAAAACCCGCCCATCAGCCTAGCTGAAAGCAAGTAGTATCTGAGTCTCAGGAACAAAAAGGGACCCTATATTTACCTAACAACCACGCACCTGATGTCTACATCTGCTGTACCACAAACATGAGAAACAGCTTTATACAAGCTGGGTGAACAACCCAAAGTGGGGCATTCACTTACTTGAACACACACATCCCATTCTATTTGGGATGGCTTATTTTTAAATGGTTGTCTCCTTGACACTTCTGACTTCATTCAGATGTTCTATATTGAGTCTCACAAAATTAAATCTATATCCTTTCTCTTAGATATATTTAATATAGGCACTAAGTTTCATCTTTCTTTTCTCTCCTTCAGGTTAAACATCTCCCGTCCCAACTGTTCCTTGAGTGACAGAAGTTTCAGTTTTTGGCATGATGATCACTCTAAATATACTTTTAATTTGAAATTAGTGGTCCATTTATCCAAAACTCAAAACATTTCAAATAATGATTACAAGTAGGTCAGGAAGAGAAGTTAGCTTACAGAGTATCCTTGTGCCAAGAAATTACAGGAGCATATGGAGTTCTTCTTATTTTAACTAATATTTACTTCAACATTTCTTTTATGTAAAAAATTATTAGGAGCAAAAAAACCCCTAATTTTTCCTTTGGCTCTATGCCTTTCAAAGTTTGAAACACTTTTATGGGCACTGCTTTGTCATCTTAAGCTTTGTGGTAGAGAAAAAGTGATAGGATATTATAGAAATGACTTAAGTTCTCACTGAGTTTCTTCAGGTGTTAGACAATACTATTAATATTAGAACAAATTTTCTGCTTTCTATTAAATTTTGGAGGTCAATTTTACAGGAAGTGAAAAGGTCACTCACATGACATTTCAATCAATTCCTTTCGAAGTTCTAGCAGTACTGCAACTCCAATGTTATCTTTTGTCATGACTCTGTTCAGCATAGCTTCAGACCCTTCTGAATTTGCCATTGCTAGCTGATTAAATTCAACAGTGTGTTTCTGAACCAAAGTAAATCTAAAACACAAACAAAAACACACACACAAACATAGAATTGGGAATACCAAAGTATTAGCTTTGTGGGAAATGCAGTTTTCCCAAGCTTCTGTAACAAATACAATGGCATGTAAATCACATCATGGAAAATCCTCCACACTTTACATCATGCTTCCCACATCCATTTCAAGTTGTTCTCAGTCTGTTACTGATACCAATAACATCTTGAAATCCTTTTACAATGTAAGATAATGTAGTCATCCTCTGTTTAAGTTTCATGTTGGAATATTCCATTTTGTAATTTTTAAATAATTCTTTTCCAAAATACAGGTTTAAGAATCCCTCTACTATTCTAGAGGGAATGTTAATTACAAGGTGTTTCAATTAACAATTGGAGTTAAACCCTAGTGAACACCTGAAGAAACAGCAGCACTTTCAACAAGTCTCCAAAATAAGATCACTTCTGATGCTTCAAAACACTTTAAGTCAACAGTGTTGCTTTACTGAGTAATACAATGCTTCGTTCTCCAATTTGCCAACTAATTTCCACACCCTGGACTCCCCGCAAATACTGAGAAAATTCTTTTTTAAACATGACTTACTTTTCTGTCTTGAAGAATATTGCACAGCCATCGACATGTTTTCTTTCTTGTTCTGACATTGTCCTAGCTCTAGATTTAGGACTAAAGAATCCATTATAGCCACGTTCTTTCAGTTCTACCAGAAAAAAACTGTAATACTGCTCTGTTTCAACCTCCTGAAAAATTGCAAATGGCAAAGTTATTTTATAAGACCAAAATCAGTACTATGCATTAACTTTACATGTACAGTTTGAAGGGCTGCAATAATTGCAAAGGACTAATCTGCAGAATAAGGAATGTCACATCTTTTCAACATGGAAAGACATACACCTCTATGTGTGTATATTTTCTTTTATTTTAGAATTGATGGGGAATAAGAATCAGAGACGTAGAAGGAACTTCGCAGATTCTAATTTCAGACCACAGGTAGAAAGTGACTCGCCCAAGGTCATGTAAATTATTTTAAGAGTAGGACTGAGACCCTAAAGTTACTGTGTATGCATCAGGCTCAATGTGCTCTCCGCTATGTCCTAATTATTCTATTACTGCTGATGATAAAGTAAAACCATACTTTTACAATGCCACAATTTCAGTGACCCTGTCACCCAATTAAAACATAGTGCAAGGGCATTTGGAAGGAAAAGATGAATATTTGACTGTCATAGCAAATGCCTAAAACCCAAATTAACCAATTTGCACCATTTGGCAGCACTGTGCTATAAAACAAAGCAGGTAGTAAATGCTCCCAGGATTTGCTAAAAACAGAGCCAATATTTTTAGAATTGCTGAGCTGGAATTTCAAATGTGTCAGGGTAATGTGTTCCGAATTTGTCCCTTGCTTATCAACACTGGCGCATTTGTGCAATTTACACTCTTCTGATGACTTACCTGAAGACTTATGATATCAGCATTGCAGCTCAAAATTTCTTGAATAATGGCCTTTTTCCTGTAGTCCCAATTTAGTGCCCAAGACGGACAGTAGCCGTATAACTGCCGGGTCGCATATTTATCACAAAGAACATTATAGCACATGACAGAAAACAAGGCTGTAGGAAAGATAACTTTACTTATTCACACACGTGGCAGAAAAAAAAAAGTTGATTTCAGTAGTTTTCACTTAAATGCTAGGTTTGATTTTATTCATTCAATATATATTCACTGAAAAGCTACTAAATGCCAGGCATAGAAGATATAAATAAAGTTGAATAAGGAAGGACAGATAGCTAAGCAAATCATAATATGATGTGTTACTAGTTACAGAGATACCCATAGAAGGTTTGAAGCTCAAAGACCAAGATCTTAAGCCCTCTGCTTCTAAGACCAGGGTTTATCATGTCTATACTTCCTCTATCACTCTGCTAACTGCTAATATAGAATGTGGGAAATTGACAGTTTTCCTAATAGGCATGGCTAATTTTCTTCTATAGACCAACTATCATTAATTCATGGTAAAGAAAGAGGTATCACAGACCAAATCCTACTATATCCATCAAGCTATTTTCATATAAGTCCCAAGCTATTTTCATACAAGTTAGGTTAAAAGGAAATCAGAGGTCATTAATTCAATTTCTCTCTCAAGTAAGTGTTTTGGCTGTCTCACAATTCTGTAGTTATCAAATACATTTGGAACATACTAGGGTTTGGAAACTTCCAATATAAAGATTTTAGTGTATTTATCATGATAAATGAGTTTGGTCAATACTTTACAGCAGAGCTTCTCAACTGTGGCACTAACAACATCATGGGTAGGTAAATTCTTTGCTATGGGGTGAGGGCTATATTAGCAACATCTGATTTCTTTTTTTTTTTTAATTTTTTTGTTTTATTTATTTATGATAGGCACACAGTGAGAGAGAGAGAGAGAGAGGCAGAGACACAGGCAGAGGGAGAAGCAGGCTCCATACACCGGGAGCCCGACATGGGATTCGATCCCGGGTCTCCAGGATCGCGCCCTGGGCCAAAGGCAGGCGCCAAACTGCTGCGCCACCCAGGGATCCCAGCAACATCTGATTTCTAACCCTGAGATGTCAGTAGCAATTCCCCAGCTGTGACAATAAAAAAAAGTCTCCAGACATTGCTAATGTTCCTTGGGGGATGAAAATGCCTCTGGTTGAGAAGCACTGCTCTACAGCATACCTATGGCATAGTAGGGAGGCCAGATAAGTAATGATTAAGTCTTTATTATTACCTCTCAAACCAAATAAACCTTAAGCATTCAACTGTCACACAGTCCAATATCTAACCCAGGCCAACAACACTGTTAGGTTTATAATGCCAAGTAAAAATAAGTCAAAAAAAATATAAGACTACCAACCAGTTGGCCTTGTCCTATCTGGTTCTTGTAACATAATCCAAGATCGTGGAGGTGGCTGTTCTGTTGAAACTAGTTGAATATAAAACAAAAAATTAAGCAATATTCTTATACATCTTCCTAAAAAAAATCGTTTGAACAAATGACCACTTACTTCTTTTTGCAGTACCTGCCAAATTATCAAGCAAATAGTTCAGTAGCCTTCTTGTTCCATCTGGTTCCAGATAGAGGTTCAATATATCCTGGGTAAGTGGATTTCCTGGAAATATTTTAAGTAGGTAAAATGAAACCAAGAAAGGTAACAAAATATTTCAAAAGTAAGAAACGTACCAAAATTATCAGATCATCTATAACAATGTATATAGTTACTAGTAATACACCAAACTAGAGGAAGTATTTTTTCAGTTCTTGATGTAAAGAATAAAAATGATTCATACCATGTTCTATAGAAGTATCCAGAAAGTGACTCTTGTGGACTGATGTCAATCTAGAAGAGATCTAATAGTGCTCTATATCTGGCCCTGCCTCAACATTTTTACGACAATCAAACCCAAGTGAAACCAGAAGGGGAAGAGTGGGAAGGAGGGGTCAGACAAGGGAAAGAGGACAACTACTATAATAAATCAGAGAATCAAAACTTAAGAATACAACATAAAGCTAACAAGAAGTTATCCTAATGACAAATGTAGTCTGCACTTAAGATTTTAAAAATTCTACTAAATAAAGTAATAACAAGATGGAACAGATCTGGTTTAAGATTAAGTCACTCCGAGGAAAGGGAAAAACCCCAGGGCTATAAGCCATCTGTAAATTCAATAACTGTTTCATAAGTGCCACAAATGAAAGCAAATGCAATGGTTTACATTGCTCTACAAGTAATTACATTACTCTACAAGAGTCTCAAATCCTTTCAGAAGGGTATCTTACATACTTATGAAAATTAACAGTACAATGAACTGCTGTGAACATCAAAGTTCCTATCCATGCCACACAGGGATATGTATATTATTCTGGATGCTACAGCTCCACTTTAAGAAAGACTAATAAATATTAAAGATTGAAGAAGAAAAATGATTAATAAATCATAAAGTGATTATAAGGTTTTAACCATGCCAAATGAAAAAAGATTTTCAAAAGATGTTGCCCCCCCCTTCTCTGGCAGAGGAGTGTTAGAGAAAGCCAGCAAAAACAGAAGGTTTAAGTAAGATCCACAGTTTCATAATATGACTATGTCCAGTTTCAAGTAAAAAAAATCACTCATCATACCAAGAACTAGTAAGATTTCAAAACTAAATGAAGAAAAATAAAATTCCAACACCAAGATGACAAAACATTAGAATGATCTGATCTAAATACAGCAGGCATGACAAAAATACTTAAATGGGAAATTACAAACATGTTTCAAGTAAATGAAAAAACAGGGAGCCTCTACAAAGAAAAGGAACAAATGTATAAAACACATTTAAAAAAATGAAAATATTAAAACTAAAAAATGAAATAAACGAAATAAAAAGTTCAGTGGATGGGTTCAACAGCAAAATAGAGGGTCAGAGGAGAGAAGCAATGAACTAGAAGACAGAATAGTAAGAATTACCCAATCTGAACAACAGAAAGGAAACTGAGAACACTGAACAGAGCCTTAGGGACCTGTGGGACCACAACAAAATTCTAAGTTTCATGTCCTTGGAGTTGTGGAAGCAGAGAACAAGCAGCACTGAGCTGAAACAGTACTCAAAGAAATAATGCTCAAAAACTCCCCAAATTTGGAGAGAAACACAAACCTGTAGATTCAAGAATCTGATAAAACCCAAAAAGGATACACTTAAAAGAATTTGCAGCAAGCCACATCATAATTAAACTTCTGAAAACTAAAGACAAAGAAAAAAATCTTGAAGGCAGCCAGAGAAAAACATCTTACCTCTAGGGAGAACACAATTTGAACAGTAACAGATTTCTCATCACAAGCCATGGGTGGTCAAAGGGAAGTGACACAATATATTTAAGTGCTGAAAGAAAAGAACTCGTAACCCAGAGTCAATACCCAATGAACATAGCCTTTATTTTTATATATTTTTTTATTTATTTTTATTTTTAAAAGATTTTATTTACTTAATTGAGAGAGAGAGAGAGAGAGAGAGAGAGAGAGAGAGAGAACATGAGCAAGGAGGAGGGGCAGAGGGAGAAGGAGAAGCAGGGAGCCCAATGTGGGACTCCATCCCAGGACCCTGGGATCATGACCTGAGCCGAAGGCAGATGCTTAACCAACTGAGCCACCCAAACGCCCCTGGAAATAGCCTTTAGGAGAGAAGAAAAATAAAGACATTCTCAGAGGACAGAAAACTAAGAGAATCTACTGCCAGCAGATCTACCCTAAAAGAATCAGAAGTTCTCCAAATCCAAAAGAAATGATGAAAGAAGGAACCCTGAAACACTAGAAAGAAAGAAGACTATGGTCTTCAAAAGGGGGCAAATATAATAGCCTTATCTTCACTTAAGATTTCTAACTCATGTTCAGCAGTTAAAATATTTTTGTAACACTGGTTTGGTTCTAAATATACGTAGAGAAAATATTTAAGATGATGGGAGCCAATAAAAAGTCATAAAGAGAGTTAGGGATCCTGTATTTCATTCAAAATGATAAAATGAAAGCAACTAGTAGACTTGATAAGTTATATATATTGTCCATAAGAAACTCACTTCAAATACAACACTCTAAGCAGGCTGAAAGGAAAAGGATGGAAAAAGAGGTCATGAAAACCTTAATCAAAGGAAAGTAGTAGTGACTAATTAGCATCAGATAAAGTCAATCTCAGAGAAAATAAATTTACTAGAGACAGAAAGTGACATTATGTAATGATGGAGAACATATAGCAATTTTAAGCATGCATCCACAAAATGACAGACTGAAAAATACTTTAGCAAAAACTGATAGAACTGAAAGGACAATAGAGAATCAACAATTATGGTGGGAGATGTTAACACTCCTCTCTCAACAACTTGACAAAACTAGGAAAAAACCTTGTAACACCATCAATCTAATGGGCACTAACTAGATTAATATATAGGATCCAGTTGAGATTTAGAGAACATTCTATCCAACAATAGCACAATACATATTCTCCAGGGCCTAAGAGACATAAACTAGTATAGACCATACCCTGGGCCATAAACTACCAAATTTCCTCAAATTTAAGAGAACTTAAATCCTCCACAATTCTTCAATCACAAGGGAATCACACAAAAAATCAGTACTGATAAGACAAAAGGGAAATCTGCAAACAGTTGGAGAATTCTAAATAATCCATGGGTCAAAAAGGATGTTTTAAGGAAAATTTTACAACGTGCTGAATTAGTGAAAATGAAAACACACCTTATTAAAATTTGTGGTTGGACACAACTTAAGTAGAGCCAAGAGAGAAATTGAGAGCACCTAATGCATACATTAGAAAAGGAAAATTTTCAATTCAATAATCTAAACTCCCATCCTAAGAACCTAGAAAGAACAAAATAAAATCAAAATCAAATCAAATCAAAAGCAAATAGAAGGATTAAAAATACTAAAGAAAAAAAAATACTAAAGAACAGGAATCAATGAAATTAAAAACAGGAAAAATAGAAGGAGTTTTTAAAAAGATGTTTCTTGGGATGCCTGGGTGGCTCAGTGGTTGAGTGTTGAGTATCACCTCAAGGTGTGATCCTGGGATCGAGTCCCACACTGGGCTCCCCACAGGGAGCCTGGTTCTTCCTCTGCCTATGTCTCTGCCTCTCTCTGTGTGTCTTTCATAAATAAATAAAATCTTAAAAAAAAAAAAGCTGTTTCTTTGAAAAGATCAATAAAATCAGTAAACCACTACCAAGACTGACAAAGAAAATGAAGACAAAAATTACCAATATAAAAAATGAAAGGGGTTATCACTACAAACCCTACAGAAATCAAAAGGATAAGAGAACATTATGAAGAACTCTACATACATAAATTTAAACACATATATGAATGGGCCATTTCCCTGGGGGGGAAAAAAAAACTGACCAAACTCAGTATGTAATTTAAATAGCCCTATGCCTATTAAAGGAAACAAATTCATAATTTAAAGACTACCAGAAAAGAGGGGCACCTGGGTGGCTCAGTTGGCTAAGCGTCAGACTCTTGATTTTGGCCCTGGGAATGATCTGAAGAGTCATAGGATCAAGCCCTGAGTCAGGCTGTGTTCAGCACAGAATCCACCTGAGATTCTCTCTCCTCCTCTTCCTGTGCCCCTCCTCTCTACTCATGCATACTCTATAAACAAACAAACAAATAAAATCTTAAAAACTCCCAGAAAAGAAATACCCAGGCCCAAATTGTTTTGCTGGAAAATTCTACTAAACACTTAAAGAATTAACTCTAATTCTATAGACTCCTTCAGAAAGAGGGAACACTTCCAAAATCATTTTATAAAGCTAATACCAAACCAGACAGAGTGAGCATAAAACAAATAAAACTAAAGACAGGCCAGCCTGGGTGGCTCAGCGGTTTAGCACCGCCTTCAGCCCAGGGCGTGATCCTGGAGACCCGGGATCTAGTTCCATGTCGGGCTCCCTGCATGGAGCCTGCTTCTCCCTCTGCCTCTCTATCTCTCTTGCTCTAATAAATAAATAAAATCTTAAAAAAAAAAAAAAAAAACTAAAGACAAATACCTCTCATGAATATTGAGTCAAAGATCCTTAAGAAAATATTAGCATACAGAAGTAAGCAATAAATAAAAAGAATGAGAACCGTGACCAAGTGGGATTTATTCCAGGAATACAAGGCTGGCTCAATATACAAAAGTCAAAGCAAAGAAGCAAAATTTTAAAAAACAAAATTATATAATCATATCAACTGATGCAAAATAAGCACCTGACAAAATTAAAAATTCTCAGAAAAAGAGGAATAGAGGAAAACTTTCTCAAATTGGTAAAGACAATCTATAAAGTACTTACTGCTAACATTATACTTAACAATGAAGACAAAATACTTTAAAAAAAAGATCAGGAAAAAGAGGATGTCTGTTCTCACAACTCTTATGCAACATAGTGCTAGAAGTTCTAGTCAGTACAATAAAGCAAGAATAGGAAAGAAAAAGCAGACAATACTGGTAAGAAATAAAATCATCCCTCTTTGCAGATAACAGAATTCTCTACTTCACAGAAAATTCCCCAAAAAAATTGTACAAAAAAAAAAAAAAAAAAAAGCAACCCTAGAACTAGAAGTAAATTCAGTAAGGTGGAGGATACAAGTTAAAAATCAAATTCAAAAAGACATAGGCACCCCTATATTTACTGCAGCATTATTTACAATAGCTAAGATACGGAAGCAATCCAAGTATCCATCCACAGATGAATGGATAAAGAAGATGTGGTATACACATACGATGGAATATTACTCAGCCATAAAGAGATCTTGCCATTTGCTACAACATGGATGGACCTACAAGATGTTATACTAAGTGAAATAAATCAGAGAAAGATAAATATTACATGATTTCACTTTATGTAGGGTTCAGCTAACAGGGAAACACAAATTAAACCACAGTGATATCACTAACACCTCAGAATAGTGACAACACCAAGCTGGTGACAATTCAGAGTAACTGGATCACTCATTTATCACTGGTGAAAATGTCAGATAGTACAACCACTCTGGAAAACAGTTTGGCTAGAAAACTAAACATGACACTAACATATGACAGAGCAAACTGCATTCCTGGGCATTTATCCTAGAATAATGAGGACTTAATGAAGACTTATGTTTCCACAATAACCTGTACACAGAATTGTTCATAGCTGCTTCATCCATAATTGCCAAATATTGGAAAGCCAGATGTTCTTCAATAGGTCACTGGTTAAACAAATCATGATACATCCATACCATGGAACACTGCTCATCAATGTAAAGGAGCAAACACGCAACAACCCGCGCGAATCACCAAAAAATTAACCTGAGTGAAAGAAACCAATCTCAGAAGGTTACATACAGCACAATCTACTTATACAATATTCTTGAAATTTCAAAACTGTAGAAATGGGGACCATTATCAGTGGTTGTTTGAAGTTAACAAGTGAGCTTGAGCTGGGGCAAGCTCAGAAAAATAATAGAATTTGTCCCAAAAGAAGTGCAATCAGTGAAACAATCCTTCCAGGAAAGAAACATAAAACCTGGATGTCAAACATTAGAGGATCTTTCTGAAAAAGAACAGGGATCCTCAAAAACTAAGGTGCCACAAGACTGGCCTACCCCTTCCCACACTTCAAAGGCTTTCATACATATTAACTCAATGTCAAAATCTGTGACCAATGACCCCTCACTTCAAATACAATTGTGAATCCTTACAGAAATGAATACAGTCAAAGGTAAGATAAATACTGCAAGATTACAAAACCTGAAACTACTAAAAGGACATAAAAATAGTAGCTGTCTCTGGGATGAGCAAGGGACCTGAAGAAGAACAAAGAGGGTTTTCACACTCTATAATGTCCTGTTTCTTATGCATTAGAAAATAGACACAAAAGTCACAAAATACTGTTAATTCTTATGGTTAATATATAGATACACATTGCTACATTTTATATTTTTGTTTCTCAAAGTTAAAACAAGAAAATTTAAAAGGTACACTCACCATAGGGAGACAGAACAGATCTACAGCTCGCTCACATTTCCTTGACCTTTATTTTAAGGAGCCTCAGCCAAGCCAAGCCCACACAGAAAAACTTTCCAAAGAATCATTTATAAAGCTGATGTTTGTTGAATATGGCTTTACATACATTTGTAAATGTATTTTTTGTATTTTCTATTTTACTTATTTTTGTGAAATTACTGTTACTTTTATGATATGAAATGGATTTATAGGAAATAAAATCTTATTTCTTAAGAAATAAGAGTAAAATTCTTGAAGACTTTATTATGTGACTTTTTTAGGAATCGATTATAGAGTAAGGTAGATACAAGACTGGTAAAGAACCACTTAATGTGCTAAAAAAAAAATTCTAGGTACTGACATATTAAAAATATAACTTTTAGGGGCATCTGGGTGGCTCAGCTGGTTAAGCATCTGTCTTTGGCTCAGGTAAAGATCCCAGAGTCCTTGGGATTGAGCCCCACATCAGGGTCCCTGCTCAGTGGGAGAGTCTGCTTATCCTCCTCCCTCTGCCCCTACTACTGTTTGTGCTCTCTCAAATAAATAAAATCTTTAAAAAATATATGACTTTAAATTTTGCTGATTAAAAAAATATGTAATTCCTAATAGTTCTCACTGGATCAATTATGTCCTCAAATTCTAATCAATTAATGAAGTCCTCATAAACCAAGTTTTAAAAAATGCTCAAAAACTGATCGTTATTAGTTATTAGCAGGTTCAAATGTATCACAATTTTTCACTCACTGATTTCTGCATTCTGTGAGTCTCTGGTTTTTTAGATTTGAATACAAGGGGGGAAAAAAAGCCATTCATAGTATGATGAAACAAAGTATGACCTCAGGAATGCATCATCAGAACGTAGAACTGACTGAAACAAAGGCTTTCTAGAAAGCAAAGTTGGGCTAGCAGTGAAAAAGAATACAAAGGTTAGTAGACAGTCTACTAGTGGACAAGACAAAAAATCCTGGGATATATCTAATAAACTGATGAAGTTTGGAGAAGAGTGAGCCTGATAATCCCTGGCAAAAGGATTCCCTTGTATAGCTTTTTTAGACTCAAAGACATATATACAAACCACAAGAAACACAAATATGGGAAATCATACCTTTCAGGCCTAAAGTCTGCAACTGAAACAGTTTTCCCAGCTCAAAAGGTAGAACTCGTAACAGGTTGTTATTTAAATGGAGTTCCCTGTGGATGTAAAAATTCCATGTCAGTATATATATTACCTTTTAACTCATAGCTAAAATTAGCAATATAGTTTTTTTTTTTAAGATTTTATTTATTTATTCATGAGAAACAAAGAGAGAGAGGCAAAGACATAGGCAGAGGGCAAAGTAGGCTCCCTTCAGGGAGCCCAATGAGGGACTTGATCAGGGACTCTGGGACCATGCCCTAAGCCGAAGGCAGATGCTCAACCGCTGAGCCACCCAAGTGTCCCAGCAATATAGTTTCTAAGAATATAATCTTCTAAGAATGACAAAATCATATTACATTCCAATGTCCAGAACAGTACTTCTTCAACGATATATAGTAAAAAATAAAACAACAAAAAAGTCCCAGACTGCCACAAACTGATACATTTTTAAAATACAAGAAAAAATTAAATTATGAGAAAAACGAGATGGGGAAAAAAGACCAACAAAACACAACCCCTAATTTTAAAAAAGTATTAAATTCAACAGATACAAAACTACTCTCACATGTTGGGTATTTCACTGCAGGTTGATGACACAGTTTACAAACTGGCACAGTCCACAGACCACCCCAAGAGCAGAGTTGAACCAACACATGTGGAGTCTACTACAGCTTTAAGAAAGAAGGAATGATAAAACAGCCTAACTTATGAATTGTTAAAGGAGAATTACAATGATCGTGTAGCACCAACTGTAAATAGCTCATGACAGCTGCAAAATTAAGTTTATCATTAACATTTCTCCAAATTAAAGTTTTGCTTTAGAAATGTCAGCTATGTTAACTACTAATTATTATTTTAATGATTCTTTTGTACAGATAACCATATTGTAACTATCAAAGGAGTCTTCAGTAGGAAAAAAAGACCCAACCAACACTGAGATACTTAAAATTTTCTAAATAAGTTTATCAATTTTTATTTTTTTAAAGATTTTTATTTATTCATGAGAAACACACATACACACAGAAAGAGAGAGAGGGGGGCAGAGGCAGAGACCCGGGCAGAGTTGGAGAAGCAGGCTCCATGCCGGGTGCCCGATGTGGGACTCAATTTCATGATTCCAGGATCACGCCCTGAGCCAAAGGCAGATGCTCAACCACTGAGCCACCCAGGTATCCCTATTTATCAACTTTAAATGTAAATAAGAACTACTTCTATAATCCCCTGGTTCTTGGAATTTAAATGTACCTTGGTTTTTACTTAATGAACCAGAGGCTGGTGAGGCCATAAACCAAACAGGAACAACTAGTTTCAATTTATTTCCACATATATCACATAGGAAAGGAGGTCTTTAAAGGAGATTAAAAATGGTCATAGTTTATACTCAGTAATTAAGCCTAAAACAATGTCAAAATGCTGGACTGGGAGCAATAAAGGTAAAGAAACTCTCACAAGGTCCTTATTTCTTTTTACTATGCAGCAAATGGTAGAAGGCAGCAAAAAAGCCAGTGGAATCAAGAGAAAAGGCAGGTAATATGAAATGGGGCAAGATTTCCCATTAGGATTAGCATACTAACTGGAACTTAGCTTTACATTCAACTTGGGTAGATCCCATCTACCTTATAAAACAGAGATAATAAAATAAATAGCAATTACCATTAAATACAGTTTGTGTCAGGCAGGGTGCTGGTAGTTTCTCACTCATTACTACAATTATCTCTCATTTTAGCCCTGGCCAGGTAACTATTATACAGCAACGTTACAGAGAATAAAACGCTCAGCAAGTTTAGGAAGCTTGCCCAAAATCAACACCCTGTAAAGTCAGGATTCCAAATTGAACTGGGTGACTCCATGCCCTATCTACCTCCTATACTCCACATGATAGTCCCCGAAACCCAGTGACTAATTCTAGCTTCTTTCAAGTCCAGGCTTTATTACCATCATGCATATAAGCCCACGGATGGCTCATTAACAGTGGTTTCCGGGACCCTGTGTTAACCAGGGTATGATGCCCCAGAATCTAGGGGTGGAAAGTACCACAACTGTCTGTCATAGGTGAGTGTGTATGTGGGATAACATAACTGCCTTCTATCTGTCTATCCCCACTTGTCCAAATAAAGTACATCATACAAAATGTAGCAATAAAACAAATTTTAGGCAAGATAACTACTGGATTTATTATTTATTGGTTGACATTCAAGTTTCTCAGAAAACTTCATGTAAAGGTTATAGTTAGGTTTGCTTTTGTTCAAATACCATTTCATCGGTTCTGCTATTTCCGGGCAAAATAAATGCCTTATTTTGTTTGTAGGGAGTATAAAGTCATCTAAGAAGTAAAGTCTGCACACCTGAGTGATACCATGTTTCCGAGTTCTGCCGGTAAACTCCGGATTTTATTAGAGGACAGGTCCAGATACACCAGATTGTGAAGCTTGGCAATGTCTGAAGGAATGCGGGACAGGGAATTGTCACTCAGGTGCAAAGCCGTCAAGTGAGTTAGTGACCACAAAGATGAGCTTAAGCTTCTTACTTTTCCTGTAAGAGAAGAAAAAAATTGGGAAAGGATTATATAATGCTCTCTATAGTTTGGTCCCTGGATTAAGGGACATTTAAATGTTTCTTTGAGTAATAATAATTTATCATACAAAAAATTGTAAGGAAGGGTTTAACAGGAGAAAGCTTACCTATTCTAGAAGGATGCGCTGCTATTAGGTTAAACTCCCCTTAGCAAACTAAAAAATCTAATGTTTAGAGTACACCATTATTTTTAAGTGCACAATAGTTAAGACTCTATTCTTTAAAGTTGCTACTTAGCTATGACATGCAAGAAAAGGTATGAATAATTTATAGTAATGATAAATCCAGTATTTCACCATAATTAATTTGGAATTATGGCAAAAAAAAAATCAAATCCAGTATCTGAGAAGCTATTCCTACTCTAGAAAATAAGAATTCTGCCTGAAAACAAAAGGTATACAATATATTCTCAGATTAGCAGAGTTAAGCTGTACTGAATAATTACAAGCAAAAATACCCAGAAACATTACAGATATGAAACCATAAATACATAATCAAACAATAGTAGACACAGGATTTAGTAACAGAAAACAATTACTTCAATGCAACATTAAACTAGTACTTCGGTAACATCTTGATAAGATGCTAATTTTTCTACAGTCCATTGAAGAACTAAGAACTTCCCCCCAATCTCTTTAATGGTCCAGGATCTAGTCTGAGAAAGAATGAAACAGAGATGTACTGGAAATACACTAGTCTTTAGGACCTAATTTTCTATTGGCTGAAAAAGCAATCTTGAGACTTCTAATCAGGATAGAGTAACAGGGACCAAATTTACTATCCTACCTGAACAACTATCATACCAGACAATATACATGAATCAACAGATTTCAGATATCAGACATCAACCAGGACAGAAGAGTGACCCCACCCCTGAAGGATCACAAACCAGGCAACTTGTGGACAGTAACACAGGGAAGGGATCCTAGGGGCAGCACAGTGATCTCCCCCAAGTTCTGGAGACAGGGAAGCCAAGATGACTAGAATTTACGAAGGCAGAGTACCAGAAAGGAGAGAGATGAACAGAAAAAGAAGTCTGGAGATAGGAAAGAGATCCCTCCTCAAGTTTTCAGCTGAGTACCTATCATTATAAATATGCAAGAAACTGCCTGAGCCAGAGGGAACACCCAAAAGGAAAAGAAACAACAATCCCCAGGTTTATGCAAAACTGAGACTGATATTCCCAACTACCAGAGGGAAGATTTCATAACTCAAAAGGTGCCAGACTTAGCGATACAAAATTAGCCCTAGCATCACTTGCCATCAGGGAAATACAAATCAAAACCACAATGAGATACCACCTCACACCAGTGAGAATGGGGAAAATTAACAAGGCAGGAAACAACAAATGTTGGAGAGGATGCGGAGAAAAGGGAACCCTCTTACACTGTTGGTGGGAATGTGAACTGGTGCAGCCACTCTGGAAAACTGTGTGGAGGTTCCTCAAAGAATTAAAAATAGACCTGCCCTACGACCCAGCAATTGCACTGTTAGGGATTTACCCCGAAGATTCAGATGCAATGAAACGCCGGGGCACCTGCACCCCGATGTTTCTAGCAGCCATGTCCACAATAGCCAAACTGTGGAAGGAGCCTCGGTGCCCATCGAAAGATGAATGGATAAAGAAGATGTGGTTTATGTATACAATGGAATATTACTCAGCCATTAGAAACAACAAATACCCACCATTTGCTTCAACGTGGATGGAACTGGAGGGTATTATGCTGAGTGAAGTAAGTCAATCGGAGAAGGACAAACAGTGTATGTTCTCACTTATTTGGGGAATATGAATAATAGTGAAGGGGAATATAAGGGAAGGGAGAAGAAATGTGTGGGAGATATCAGAAAGGGACACAGAACATAAAGACTCCTAACTCTGGGAAACAAACTAGGGGTGGTGGAAGGGGAGGAGGGCGGGGGGTGGGGGTGAATGGGTGACGGGCACGGAGGGGGACACTTGACGGGATGAGCACTGGGTGTTATTCTGTATGTTGGTAAATTGAACACCAATAAAAATTAATTTATAAAAAAAAAAAAAAATTACTAGGCATGCAAAGCAGAAAAATAACAGCCATAATGAAGAGAGAAAGCAATCAATCAAAACCAGTCTAGAAGAGATAAGGACAATAAAATTAAGTCATTAGAAACTACTCTAAGTGTATTCTATATGGTCAGAAACTAGAAGACTAATAAACTTGTTAGGCAGAGATATAAGATAGCAAAGACACCCAAAGTGAACTTCTAAAGTTGAATACCATGTCTAAAATGAAGATACAGCAATAAAACTACGCAAATTAAAAGAGAAAAAATTCACATCTTAGACAACTTTAAACAGCCTAATATATACATAATTGGTGTCCTGAAAATAGGTATGTGTTGGGGACAGAAAAAAAAATCTTAAGAAATAAACCCAAAAGACAACTGGATATCCATTCACATTCAAAAGAATAAAGTTAAACCACTACCTCATACCATATACAAAAATTAACTCAAAACCTCTTGGAAGAAAACATGCAATTATGCAATGGTATGTTAGATAGGACACTAGTAGCACAAGCAACAAAAAATATGTTAATTGTACTTCACTAAAATTAAAACCTTTTGTGCCTCAAAGGGCACCATCAATAAAAAAGTGAAAAGATAACCCACAGAATAGGAGAAAATATTTTAAAATCATAAATTTATTGAGACATTTGTATCCAGAACATATAAAGAACTGATACAATTCAGTAAGAAAAGACAAATAATTCAATTTAAAAGTGGGCAAAGAACAGGTACTTATACAAGTGGCCAAGGCACATGGAAAGATGCTCAGTATCGCCAGACAGGTAAGATAAGGTAAGGTAAGGTTAATCAAAAAGCACAATGATATACAATGATATACTACTTCATACACACTAAGATAACTGTAATCAAAAAAACACAGATGACAGCAAGTATTGGCAAGGAGTACAGAAACTGGAACCTTCATACACTGCAGATGGGAATATAAAGTAATGAAGCCACTCTGGAAAATAGTATGGCAGCTCCCGGAAAAGGTTAAACACAAGTTACTGCATAAGCCATCAATTCATTCCTACATATATATCCAAAAGAAAGAAAAACATGTATCCACATAAAAATTTATACATGAGTATTTATAGCAGAATTATTAAGAGTTCAAGAAGTGGAAACAATCCAAATATCTGTCAACAGATTAATGGATAAATAAAACATGGTGTATTCATACAACAGTATATGAAATATTAATACATGCTAAAACATGGATGAACTTTAATATTTTGCTAAATGGAAAAAAACTGGTGATCATATATTATAGGATTCCACTTATTTGAAATGTCCAGGACAGTAACAAATCCACTGAGACAGAAAAAAGATTAATGCTTACCCAAGGGCTGGCTAATGGAGAAGAAATGAGGAACATCACTAATGTGTACAGGGTTTCTTTTGGGGACAATGAAAATGTCAAATTGATTGTGGTAATGAGTGCACAACTCTATGAATATACAAATCACTGAATGTGCATTTTAAGTGGTTAAATTATGTAAGATATATCTCAAGCTATTACAAAAAGAAAAAAATGAAGACAAAGAGGCAGAAAAATTCTCCACTTTTGATGAAAACTAAAAACTTAGACACAAAAAGCTCATGAAACCCAAGTGCACGAAAACTCCATGAAGAACAACTACAGGAAGGCACCATTTTAATCAAATGTCTGAAAACAAGTGATAAAGAGAAAAATCTTAAAAGCTGTCAGAGGAAAAATAATTACACAGAGAAACAGATAAAATGTTGCAGACTTCCACTTATAAAAAAAAATGTGAGAGAAGACAGCAGTAATCTTTAATGTACTGGAAGGGGGAAAAAAATCCTCAGAGTCTAACAACCCAGCAAAAATATCTTTCAAAAATGAAGGCAAGTTACAAGATAAAAAGAGCCATAGAGATGGATGGTAGCGAGGGTAGCACAACATTATGAATGTCATTTGGTAAAAACCTTCCCACAGGATGCTCAGCGGTTGAGCATTTGCCTTTGGCTCAGGGCATGATCCCAGAGTCCCAGAATCGAGTTCCACATCAGGCTCCCTGCATGGAGCCTGCTTCTCCCTCTGCCTGTGTCTCTGCCTCTTTCACTGTGTCTCTCATGAATAAATAAATAAAATCTTTAAAAAAACAAAACAAAACAAACTTTCCCACAAACAAGATTCAAAAACCAGAAGAGCTCACTGGTGAATACAACCAAACTTTTAAGGAAGAACAATTCTACACAGATTGAGCCAGAAAACTGAAAACAAAAAGATACTTTCCAATTCATTCTATGAGGCCAACATCACTCTGATACTAGTACAAAAAAACCTACAAATCAAATCCTTCATGAACATAAATGCAAATTTTAACAAATCAAATCTAACAATATATTAAAAGGATAATAACCAAGGAAGACTGGTCCCAGGAAATTCAAGGTTTGTTAAGTACTAGAAAAAAAAGTTACTCAAAAGAAAATATTCAATTATTCATTAGAAAAGAGAATCATCTATAGAGATGTAGAAAAAGCATTTGACAAAATAACATTTAAAATCAGCACCTAATCAAATCAAATCATCAATTTAAATTTTTTTTTTTTTTATTTACTCATGATAGTCACAGAGAGAGAGAGAGGCAAAGACACAGGCAGAGGGAGAAGCAGGCTCCATGCACCGGGAGCCCGATGTGGGATTCGATCCCGGGTCTCCAGGATCGCGCCCCGGGCCAAAGACAGGCGCCAAACCGCTGCGCCACCCAGGGATCCCCCAAATCATCAATTTAAAAAAAGCAGCTCTCTCAGTAAGCTTAGAACAGAACTTCTTCAATCTTGATAAAGGGCATCTATAAGAAGGTTAATGATAAAAGAATTAATGTTTTCTCCTAAGATCAGAAACAAAGTAAGATATGTCCACTATCACCATTTCCATTCAAAAT